TCCCTCCGATACTTAAGTCAGAGAATATGAAAAAGCTTGGGTGCTGAAAATCATATGTAAAAATGTACCAAAATAATGAATTTGAGCCTTTTTTTTTTTTTTTATAGAGGTAGGTAGTGCACTCCTAATAGGACTTGACATCTTTATTTTTAGGAATTCTAATTGGGATAAGTGTTGGACCACAATTATAAGTCTAATCATACATTAACTGCAGTATTTTTCAAGATAGATTCCTTCTGGATGTAGGATTCTTGAAGTGGAGCTTCTGGATAGGTTTGAAGTTATGAAGAGGTGGGAATTACCCTTACTTTAATAGTTTAGAATTTAGGCTAAGGGAAAAACCCGTGGAGTAACCTTCAAGGAGAACCAACGTGATTAGCGCTGTCCATCATCGGAAGTCCTCTAGGTATCCTGAGGATCCTATGACTCCACATCATTCCCGTAATTGTAAAAAACAAGCCATGAGAGTCGTGCTCGGGGTGCTCTCTTGAATCGTCTTTGAAGATCATGTACTATCAGACACTGTAAACTCATCTTCTCATTTTTTTTTCTTTCGAATGATCCTTAGATCTACCCAACCACGAGTTTTGAATCGCTAAAGAGCTTGACGTGTGCAATTCCAAGGTTATTGGATAGCTCCAGAGGAATGAGACAGCCTTATACTCTGCATCATCGTTGGTGGCTTCGAATTCGAATCGGAGTGCATACTGAATTTCGGTTAGCTTATCTGGACTGCTAATTATGATCCTAGTACCCGAGCCCAAGAAATTTGATACCCTATCAACAAATATCTCCCAGGTGTTCGCCTTAGTGGTCGAGATATCCCCTGGCCCCCGAGGCCTCAAGGTGAGCTTTGCGATGAAGTTTGCTAATACTTGTCCTTTAATAGAAGGCCGGAGCTTGAACTCTATATCAAATTCACCAAGTTCAATTGCCCACTTCAACAATCTTCCTAAAACATCAGGTTTTTGGAGTATTTGTCTCAGTGGCTGGTTTGTGAGCACTACGATTGGATGTGACTGAAAATACTACCTTAGTTTTTGTGCCTCCATGACCAAAGCCAGGGCGAGTTGTTCTGCTAATGTATACCTTGTTTCTGCACCAAGCATTTCCTTGCTCACATAATAGATGGGTTGTTCAACCTTCTAGACTTCTTTGATCAGTACGCCGCTCACTGCATTTTGAGATACGGCTAGATTTAAGTGCAATATGTCTCCAAGCTCGGGCTTTGTGAGAATCTGAGGAATCAAAAGTGATTGTTTGAGTTCCTAGAAA